GGCGATGCGTCGTTCGCAGGCTTGACGACGGCGCAAGTGTGCTTCAAGTACGTTGTGCCGTACACCGAGACGTCCGGTCAGTCGCTCGTCGAGCACGTCCGGCTCCACACCGCGGACGCCGACTACGTGCAGCCAGCGACTTGGTACATTAGCCACGCGTGGCTCTACACGTTTACCGAGACGCTCTCGTCGCTCGAGCTCTTCTTTGCGGCCAAGGGCATCCAAGACCCCGTCGTCTGGTTTTGCGTCTTCAACAACAACCAGCACGAAGCCAAGGACTACCCGTTCTCGTGGTGGCAGTCGACGTTCAAGGACTCGCTCGCGGCTATTGGCAACGTCGTCATGATCATGCACCCGTGGAAGAACCCGATCACCCTCACGCGGTCGTGGTGCGTCTTTGAGGTCTACGTCGCCATCTCGGTGGGGGCCAGCTTTGACGTTGCGCTCGCGCCGACGCAAGCCGACAGCTTCTTCCTCGACATGGCCAACGACGACATCGATGCGTTCTACGAGATGCTCGGCAGCATCAACAGTAAGAACGCTCGTGCGACCGTCGCCACCGACAAGACCAACATTGACGCGGTGATTGCAGCCGAAGTCGGCTTTCCGACGCTGGACCGTATGGTCTTTGCAGTGCTGGAGAATTGGATGCAGTCGGCGCTGCGTGCGCGCATCGACAAGTCGCAAGGGTCCTTGGACGTGGCCAAGTACAACTACGCCCTCGCCGGTCTCCTCTGCCATCAGTGCCACTTTGACGCCGCGCTGGCGCCCTGCGAGACCGCGCTGCTTCTGTACGAAGGGACGCTCGGCCCGAGCGCACGCGAGTCTCTCGAGACGCGGGCTTTCCTCGGAACCATTTACGGACTCGAAAACAAGCCCATCGAGGTCTGGGAACCGATTTTGGTTGATGCCATTGCAGCGCTGACCGACGTCGGAGGCCGCGCCGACCCGGCCGTTATGAACGCCTTGTACCACTTGGGGCTCTTCTACATCTTGCATGGCGAAGTCGAGAAGGGCCGCGTGGTCTGGTCCGAGGCGCTGCAGCTCTTCCACGCGGTGCTGGGCCCCAGTCACCCGCGGACACTCACCATCGTCTACACTGTCCGGCAACTCGACGACACGAGCACGATGGACGCAAACCTCGCCGCAGAAATGGCCATCGAGTGCTACGTGGGTCTCCTCACTGTCCTCGGCAAGGACAACCCGATGACGCTGAATGCGATGATGAACGTCGGCGTTGTGTACGCCGAGCACGGCAAGCTCGACGACGCTCTCGAGTGGCACATGGAAGCGTACACGGGCCTCGACCGCGTCTGCGGCCTCACGCACACGCACACGCTCTGGGCACTCTATAGCGTCGGCGAAACACTGGTCGCTCTCAGTAGGTTTTCTGAAGCGATTGCTAATCTGCACCGCGTCCGCGACGGCACCAAGGCATTGGGCATGGACAACTCGCTGCTGGCGGCGCTCGGTACAATGTCGCTTGCCTCGCGGAGTGGTCCTAAGCGTCGTCTCTTGCGTAGCGTCCGAGCAGCTCGGTTTGGCGTACTTTTCGCTCGAAGAGTATGATGTAGCCATGACCTTCTACTTGGCGTCCGTGCGATCCCTCGAGGTCCTCAAGCGACTACCGGCAGCCACTATGTCCATCGTGCGCTTGCTCGCGTGCTACGACCGCCTCGACTCGCCTGTGGCGCTGGCGGACTTGGACGCAATGAGGCGCTTTGCTCTTGCCGCGGATATGTGGCACGAGACGCGGGAGAAGGTGGGCTGCGACCTCTGCGATATTCCCGAGCTGTACGGCACCGTGTACGTCTGCCCAGTCTGCCCCATCGGGACCCAAGTCGCGTGTGCGGCGTGCTATGCGATCGTGCCGCAGTGCCCCGAGTGCCAAGTGCTGGACCTCGTGCCCAGTTTGCCGCCGCCTCGCATGCTTATGACGCGCAAACTTCGGCTTCTCGCAACAGAAGATCAACCGGCTTTGCTTGCGTCTGTTGAGGACGAGCTCCGCGCGTACTGCGACACCCATGGAATCGATAGCATCGACCTGAATGCCGAGGTGACACCAGAGACCGCCAGCACATCGACCGGCAAGCCGGCCATAGCGTCTCGTCGCAGACTAGTGCCGTCGTGGCTGTGTTGCTTCTGGCGCCGATGAGGACGTCGCTCGATGTCTCGACTTTTGGATAGCTATATTTGTATATAAAGTTTCAAGTTGATACTGTGAAGTGCAATGAGCCACTTTGATTTGTGCTCCGGCAAGGAAATATCTCTTACCATTCCTGCGGAACAGCGTCCAAGGTCCGACGACAGAGGCAACGGGCCCGCCTTTATGCGCTTCTTCTCCGTGACAAGCACCGACCGTGGACGCTGTCGTCCTCCGCGCCCGGTGCGTCGTCGCCGTCACGGCCTTGCTTCGTATCGCGCTCGCTCGTGGCGCCACGTCACGGTTTACACTATTTCAGACCAACTTGAGATAAAAATACTGTGGTGGGTGTTTCCCGTTTAAATTCGGCATCTGCCGCGCCGTGCCCCAGACGCGATGTTCGGCTGGTTCAAGAAGGCGACGCCGGTCTGGGCTGGCTACACGTTCGACGGCCTCGTGGCCGTGCACGCGCAGCTCGTGCGCTTCCGCGAGCTGCCCGAGGCGACGCTGGTCGAGCTCCTCCGCGTGCTCTCCGAGTTCCTCATCTACAGCGACCAGCACAGCGGCGAGGCCTTCTTCTTCGACTTCTTCTGCGAGAAGAACATGATGGCGCTCTTCGTCGCGATCGCCAACAGCCGGTCGCCGAGCCTGCGCGTGCAGGTGCAGCTGCTGCAGACGCTGAGCCTCCTCGTGCAGAACATCTCGACGGCCACGTCGCTCTACTACATCCTCAGCAACAACTACGTCAACAAGCTGCTCACGTGCCGCCAGTTCCGGCTCGACTTGGAGGACGTCCGCGACTGGTACGTCACGTTCCTCAAGGCCGTCTCGATCCGCTTGACGATCGACACGGTCCAGTTCTTCTTCAACGCAGCGACGCGGACGTTCCCGCTCTACGTCGAGGCGCTCCAGTTCCGCCATTGCGCCGAGATCCAAGTGCAGATCGCCGTCAAAACCGTGATCCTCAACGTGCTGCGCGTGCCCGACGACCGCATGCGCCGCTTCCTCACGCAGCCGTCGAACCTCGCCTACTTTCTCGACCTCGTCAAGGTCAATGCCAGCCTCGCGCTGGCGCTGCAAGCCGACGCGACGCGCTTCGACCGCTTCCAGTACAAGGAAGACAAGCTCGTGGACCAGTGGTACTACCTCCAGGACATCCTCCAGGTGCCCATGCCCGACCTCTGCTTCCGCCTCGGCGAATGCCTCTTTGACGCGTACCTCCAGCACCTCCTCGCTCGGAGCTTGCTGCCCAATTGTGCGGCGAAGGCGGCGCCCCGCGTCTCGACGCTGCTCGCGCTGCATCTTCTCACACAGTTCTTCCATCGCTCGTCCCACACCCCACTGCTCCATGCGACCGCCGTCATGTACTCGTCGTCTTACGAAGAAGAGGATGGCTCACGCCGCCGCGTAGGCTCTTGCACCCCGAGCTCCAAGGCACGACGTACATGACGGCTGCCCTCGGCATGGGCGACAAGAAGGTCCTCGGGCGCACGACGTCATTGGACTCGAACCTCGGCCGCATTGAGACCGCTTCCCACTTGACGCCGTCGCTGTCGAGCGATAGTTTGCGTGCCAACGCCGTTGCCTTGTCACCGACAGCGTCGTCGCGGGTGTCGTCGCCGTCACCGGTGCTGCCACCGGTGGTCTTTGAGCCGCACACTGCCGACGACTGCAGCGCCGACCGGTGCTGTCTCTGCACGGCCTTTCCTGTCGGCGACTGGCCGGCCACCGACGTCCGAGCGACAGCGTTCGACTTGACCGCCAACGTGTACCGCCAGGCGCTTCTGGCGCTTGTGACGAGCTCGCAGCCGACCTTGCGACTTGCAACCATCACACTATTACGCACGATTCTGCGGCACCCGAGCATCGATCGGTCGCT